TGTCAAGGTGATCATGTAATTCCGCTTCGCTGTGGTGTAGGAACTTGGCAAACCTGTAATTATTATGATGAGCAAGATTTAATAAAGATTGATAATGATATACCAGTAGAAGCTGCAGCTTGTTTCCAAGTACTTTTCCTACAGTTTTTTATTAACCTTATAAATTATTTTAGTACCTTAAGAACTATTACTCATATTTTTTTAAAGTTATGGGAAGTATAAAATTAGATTTTTTTGTCTTAATTTATCTCTATTTTTTTTTGAAAATTCTCTATCTGGAGTATTCTGTACCATTTTTTGATCTTCTCAACGTTTACAAACTAAAGGTGAATCCATCGACCGCCTATCGTATGTTAACCGACTTTGTCGACTTACAACCCGGAGATTTAGTAATACAAAATGGAGCTAACTCTACAGTGGGAAAAGCTGTTGTACAGGTGTTTATTAATTCTGGTATTCTTTATGACTTTAATTGCTGATACAGTTATTTAAGTCGTAGATAGTAGTGCTTTGGAGAATTCTAACTGAGAGTCTTAGATAGCTCACGCTCGCGGCCTACGCACTTTGAATGTGATACGAAAGTCTGATCACTCAGACAGTGCAGCTAAGGAACTGAAAAAATTGGGGGCTGATATGGTGCACACGGAAGACGAAATGATCAAGGAGTATAGAGGAAAGGCATGAATTTTTACTTATACTTTAATAAATACAAAGGAGCGTCGTAGATTTACATAAATCAAGCACAGTTTCTTGAAACTGTTGCTGAAATTTTTTGATAAAAAACTTAAAATTTTAAACAATTTAGTAGCGTTGTTACAACTGATTAGTTTAGGCTTTTTTTAACTACGCAAGAGACTACTTTTCTCTTGAGGTTCACGGCTTTCACGGCTTTTTTATATGCTCTAGTATATGACTGTAACTTTGATTACTTGCTAGGGAAGCCTAAAGAAAAACAGTTTAAAAAATTTTGCTGTATACTGCAAGTAGGCTTTTCTTGTCTACAGTTCATTCACATCACGTAAACAAAAATCTTTTGCTTGTAAATATTTATTTTTAAAACTAAGTACTTTCCAATTATTCAACACTGTATTTACAGATAAAAGATGCTAAGTTGGCTCTGAATTGCATTGGTGGAAAAAGTACTTTAATACTTGCTAGCTGTCTTAGCAAAGGTGGTGTGATGGTTACATATGGAGGCATGAGCAAGCATGCCATTCAAGTCTGAATTTTTCTACTTTTTTGTGTAATTTTTACATTTAGAATTGTGATATAGTTTATTTTTTCAAAGGTATCATGAACTGTAAATATAAGTGTATTTAGGTACCGACAGGCCCGCTGATCTTTAAGGATATTCAGTTGAAGGGATTTTGGGTGACCGGCTGGTACGCTCGTCCAGAAAATATGGCGGTCAGTCCAATTCAGTGCTTTTCGATGGTTCTTTCATTAGAAGTATATTTGTTTATGCCCTGAGCAGCAAAACAACTTTATTGACTTTTGATGCATTGAGTGGCAATGAAAAAAAAAACTTGCTGATTGAGTTTTCAAATTTATTGGTTCTTTCGTTTGAATGGTAAGTGAGTTTTCATGATTGTTTCGGTAAAGTTATACTTAATAAGGCGTTAAAGGTTTTAAGGATTTGAATATCATTATACCATTTTACATTTGAAAATTCTTTTGGTTCATTACTTTTCTGCCGTCTTTTTCATTCTGTTTCACTTTTAGCCTATTGCGCTTTGTTGCCTTATTTTTCCGTTCCTTTTAGAAAATGGCCAAGATGTTCCATGACCTTTCCAAACTAGTTCGTGAAGGAAAACTGAAGTCACCAGATTATGATAAACGACGCTTGGAAGATTACCAAGTAGCGTTTGATATTGCGGAGAGTGGAAGTGGAAAGAAGCAGCTATTTGTTATGTAGCTGAAAATAATTTTTTAAATTCACCATTTTCAGTGAATTAGCAGTTCTTTTAATGGATTAGTAAATATTGTCCTTCTAACTTTAGGTTTTGGTTTCTTGATCCAGTAGTTTTAGTGCTAAGTCCTGAACTGTATTTCTGACGTAATGGTTTGTCTCCATCATGGTCAGTGTAACTTATGACGTCCCGTTTGAAAGATTTGAAATTTGAAAAAAAAAAGTTTGAAAAAAATTCAAAACTGAAATTAGAGCAGAAATTAAACAAAGCCTTATTAACTGTGGGGCTTTCATAAGTTTTCAATTACCTTGCATCGATTTCGTCGTGGTCAACTTTGTTATAAATGAAGTCTTTTAATCTTACGGTTTATATACTTTCCGTTGAATCATTTGCAATTTGTTTACTTTTTGTTTTCCACGCCTTTATTCTTTGAGGCATTCTTTAGTAAAAACCAAAATGTGTAAGAGCCAAGAAAAAAATAAATCATTGTAGGAACTTACTAATTTTGGTCTGTCCTTTCTAGCGTGACTTCTTCACTTAAACAGGTCACCTGAAAATTAGGAAATTTTTAAATTAGTTAACTTTCAAGATTCATTTAGAGAAAGCAAGTTATTATAATGCTTTAAGAAAGTGTTCAACAGCAGTTACAAACAATCAGAGAAAGTTTTGTCAAGGTTAGTTTTCGGATGACTGAATTACCAATATTACTGTTGAAAATGTTTTATGGCTGCGGTTTAGTACCTTTTGAAAAGACAAAGAAAATACTTTGAGCAGAAGTGTATCGAAAAAGTAAAGGTGCCGTATCAGCGGGCTTGTAAAACTTTCCCCAAGAATAATGTCTGGGTGGTTTAGAAACGTTAAAGCAGCATTTGGAGAACTTCAAAATCCAAATAATAAACTCGATCTGTTCGTAAGATTTGGACTTGTACATAACAGCTGTGTATGCCCAGATAGGACACTAATAACAAATTTATTCAGACCGTTTGGTCAAATGCAGTAAGTGGTCTTTTTTTCTCTTTAGAGTATTAACGAACTTTTGGAAGAGTAGCAAAAGTTGTGCAAAACGAGAACCGGAAAGCTTGAAACAGCAAACATAACAAATTTCTCCTGTTATCTTGTTAGGGTAAGGGCCTTCACTTTCTTCAAGAAAGTCAAAGAAATAAAATAAAAAATAAAAAAGAAATAAAAAACACCGAAATAAAGGATATGCATAAATATCAGGGTATGAACCTGTCTCTTATGAAGATCATGGCTCATTTTACAAATATAGTATACCTTTTATAAGCGTTTATGCCTTCAGAGTTGGAAACTAAAATGCTGAAACAGTAGTACGTGAGACCGCCAGAAAAAAGCTGTATTTGTAAATAGAAACCAAGGAAGGGCTGAAGGCAAAGTGTCAGCGACACAGGTTTAGTCATGGTCTTAAGGGCTACAAGTTTTTTAGACTTAAACGGAAACAATATAGACAGCTCCTCCTTCTTACTGAATTAAAACTGTTCTATTACTAAAAGCACATATTAAATACGATGCTGCACTTTGGTGCTGGGAGCGGGGCATCAAACTAAAGATGAGAGGATACTGAGCTTTAGTACCCACTTTACAGCTTTTATCACTTGAAGAATGGCAGAAAAGTTCATTAAAACTCTGTATAGATAATGAAAAAAATAATAATAATTTAATAGAAAAGAGGTTATGAGGAAGAATTAGATACTGCAATTCGGTAAACTGAACAATAAGGCTGACAGTCTTTTACTCTGTTCTGCCTTATCTGCTGATATTTCAGGTGCTAATTTTATAAGTAACACACAAGAGAAATTAGTTAATATAGCTTTAAATGAGACTAAACAGCCTCTAGTTTAGCATCTAGGTTTTCAGTAACTTTTAGCTATTTATAACAATGCTTCCAGCATCTTAAAATATGGAAAAAACTTTGAGCATCTCTAAGTTAGTTTTTGGTAGAAGAAAAAGGCTTTTCTAATTTGGCTGCAAACCAATTATTTTTGAGAATGAAAAGTATGTATATATACACAAATATATATATAAATAGGTTGTATATATATATATATATATATATATATATATATATA